TTGAACTTTCTATAATGCGACTATCAACTCTTGACTTGTGCAACTGAAATAATTCCTGAATTATCTGCAGTGCTCCCTAGACAATCCAGGGTTTCTTTATCCAATCCTTCTTACACTGTATAAAAGGAATACAAACACTTTTCCTGAATACCAGAACTACTATGAATAAAGTGTTCCTCCATCTTTCCATTGAACCACAGGTTTCTAAATCCTCATAAAAAATGAATGAGGTCTAAAAACACCAGATGGCGCAATAATTTTCTTCAGCAATGTCACTGACAAGTATTTTTTTTCCAACAAAAATAGTCCAGCAGCTCTGAAAATTGACAGAATCTCACAAGAATGAGGTCCTAACAAGTGGTGAATGATACTACCCATATCTTTCATGACACTGACATTAAAAACAACAGCCTTACAATATTAAGCATCGAGACACCATTAGACCTTTGAGAAAAGGAGCTGTAGGGACAGTAGTTAGAGATAAAAGTTCTCATTCTCTTTCAAAATCCTCACAGATTTCTAGCTCCTGTTTCTCATCCATTTTGATCTTTTGGAGACAAAAAAGAGTGCAGGGACAAACCTTAATCACTTCATAATGGAAGATGAAGAACCTTCTTCTTTCCTCATGTGCTGAGATCTGAAGCCCTTCCACCTCAGTCCATCTCCTTCTCCCTCCCTCTCCTGCCCTGCACACACAGGACTCCCTCAGCCACATGCAACCCTCAGCTGTGCTTGATCTTTTGGCTTTCAGGACAAAAACACAGTGATGAGGACACCACAAGGAAGCAACTTGAGTTGGTGCTCTCGAGTCAGATGACAGGATCAAAACTATACTTTCAGAAAGGAGAAAGGATTAAAGGACCAAAGAAAAACTATACAAACCACGTAGAGGATAGCAAAGTAGATGTCAGGCCTAGCCCAAGCCTGGACCTCAGAGAGAGACAAAAGAAAGGACTGCCCTCCCCTGGGCTAAAGGAAAAGCTGTTCAGAAATCTTTCAGTAGCCCCTCATTCGGTGAGGGTGGCCAGTAAACACTGTCCAACCAGGAGTGCACTGGGAGATCCTCACTGTGCATGAGCATCACTACCAGGCCCAGGGAATTCAGATTTTATTCAGAGAGAAGGCAAAAGACAACTGTGCCTTCATTTAACAGCAATGTCTGTGGTACAAAGGGAGATGTCAGCTCTTCAACTGCAACCGTGCCCATGAGGCAAACCCAATGCAGCATGCTGAAGACATGCTCATCTAACACTTTGAATGTTCAGAGAGACTCTGGGGCACACATCTCAGCTTTTTCACTGTATTCAAGTTTTGTTTATGTATATATATAAATATATATAATGTAGTATATATTATATATCTATTTAAATCCGAAAAGTGGAAAAAGTATGAAAAATACATAGAAACAAACAAAAAAAAAACAACAAGATCTGTAAAAGTCTCACAAGGGCAACATACTCTTTTTCCATATAATGTTGCTGTAAACCTGAAAATTATCAATTATCATAACTAAAAATTAAAGAATTTTGCTGTGTGGATAGCAGTTGCCTTGGCAGAGCTTACTCTGCACCCATAACACACTCAGGATAACTTTTCCCTGTGTTTCAAGTAGGAAGGTACCCAGTTGGCTATACCTAAGCATCTCTCAGTACCACTGGTATTCTGCTGCTGCCTGGGTTGTGTTTCAACTGGTTTTAATGAAAAACTTAGCCAAGCTTGTGAACAAAACTACAGCTGACTTCTTTGGGATTTGAATTAAGGTCCTCATTCTTAAGATCCAACACTTGTTCCAGAAGTTGAATAATGTGAACAAATATTTACTACACATCAAAATGAAACAAGTAATGGCCTTTTATTTTTCCTCTCCTGTCTAGACAATATTTGAATGAGACTTGGTACTTGTTTTAACATCTGTTGAAAGAATTTTTTACAACATCCAGACAAAAAGCATCCTTCAGATTTCAAGCTATCTGTCACTAAGAATCAGAAAACTTTAAGACAGGAAAAAAGTGCTCGCCCAAAGAAATAGGCTAAGTGCTGTGTTTTTACCTCCTAAAAGCTTGTATGAATCTCTCTTCCTGTTTGGCTCATATGGAATCTGCCAGTCTTCCAATTTTTAACAATTTAAAGTACTAAAAAGAAAGCAGCTAAAAGCACCGAATTTTCAATGAAAAACATGTGAAACCATCAAGTTTCCAATCTCAGCTATAAATCAGCTGGGTCTGCAAAAAAAAATTATACTCTTCAGCAAACCCTAACTACAGTTTTTTGTTTGCAATGAAACCCAAAACTAGGAAAATTTCACGTGGTTTTCTTAGAAAATTTTTCAGTAGTATACCCTAATGTAAAGTTTCACATATATTTTCATCCCATTCTTCTACAAGAAAAAAGGCCACACAAAAAAACTTGTTTAATGATATGCTCCCCAAAGAATGATCATAAAGTAAAGCATAAGCACTAACAGAACAGTGACAAAAATTACATTTACTCTGTACATCATAATGCCTACAGCAACATATTATTCTCTTTTATGACCACTTCCTTTTTGTCTGTGCAGATAAAATATCTCACTTGGTTAGAATCAGGGAGGTAAAGCTTCACTGCTACAGTTCTTGCTTTTTTAAAACAGCTCTTTAAAGCTTTTAAAGCTCTTTAACCTTTCAACGGTAGAGTCCATTTATAAATAAAGAACTGCATTCACAGAGAGTCAAGGCAGAAAAACTTCCTGAAGAGACTGAGTTAAAATAACCATTATTATCCTTTTTAACTCTCTGGGCACAAACCAGATCTCTGATTACCCCTCTCACACCTGAACAATTGTTTCATGTCAACCACAAAATAAAGGACAAGGGTTGAGAACGTGGATAAAACAGTGAGATACTCTGCTCTGAACTGCGCACCAAACCACTGTTAAAAGCTTTCTAACTTAAAATAAAACCCTACCACCTTCTGGGCAGTGTCCAAGGGTGTTCCAAGTCAATGGTAGTTCTTCATAAGCAATGGCCATCATCTGGTTATTATCCAGCAACTGTAGATCTTTCACCCTTAGCCCAAATTTATCCAGCAACAGCTTGTGACTAGTGGTGGTGACACATTCTGCATGATTGACCAGAAAGCGAGACAACTTGCAAGACAGATTCACTCTGTAAGTGGCAGGAGAGCTGAGGACCACAGATGAATAACTCCCTGTGTATTTCCATTAATACAGAGACAGAAACTGCTTCCTGGCATCTATGGCCTGTAATTTTAATTAATCACTATCTACGTTCAGAAAATACATAAGTTATTTTTTATTCCCCTCCACTTCTTAGAGCTGTGACTGCTCACTCAGAATTATTTAATTCTTCCCTCTCATTACATTTATTTGTCATAGGGCATCCACCAACCATTTCTAGTGATGAACTTGGATTCAACTAGAGTGCAAACTGCCATTACTCCCAATTATACTAACATAATTAAGTCTAGAACCAGTCTTTTAAGGTGAGCGTTCTTAACCACAATGGAAAGAACTGAAGGTTCTTGGATAAGCATTAAGAAAAATATGATGCTCATGAAAAGAGTAGGGGAATGGCCTGCAACATGAACTCTGAGTAAAATATCTATTAACATCCTTTTTTGTACCTACCCAGGCCAAAACCCAAAAGATTTTAACTAATGCATGCTTCAAGCTCTTGGCAGACTTGATTTAATGTTGTATCAACTCTCTAACTTACAGCTGGGGAGTTTGTCTCTCAAACCTCTTCAAGACTTCGTGTTTCCTCTCTAACTGCTTTGACATCTAAGAGAGGGTGGATGTCATACATCTAATAGAGGGGCAAGCTGTACCTCTCAGTGGAGAGCTAACCATGATGTACTAAGGGCACAAATCTAAATTTTCCAACATACCCCTGTATACCCCTTGTATAACTACAAGTATAAGTGCCACCTAGTAACTGCAGAAAGAAGCATGTACTTACCACAACTGCAGTTGTTTTTAAAGTGCTCTGTGTTCCCTTATGACAAATTTGGCCACCACAAAATAATACTAATATCAGAAGGCTATATTTTAACCTCACATTTTATTTTCATCTGTTCATGTCTTCTGCCATGATTAAGTGTTGCCTGCAGCCCTCTGTTTTTATTCCTAGCCCAGAAGCAACCATTTAACAATGTCATTTCAGGCACCTTAAAAAAAAATTTAAAAACCTTGGAACAAGCCTAGCACTGCCTTTTCTCCAGTTGTAATCCATGACAATCATTTACCATTTACAGGATTAAAGAAGCCACCATGTAGAGGTGATGAACTTTCCCTTTTTATACTCTGCACTTATTTTCAGCTCCTTTAGAACACACAAACAAATAATAGATCCTACTGCACAGGTACATCGCATCTATAGCCACCTACTCGCATAAATGAAAAGGTCACAAAGTACACAACAGAGGTGACGAGCAGGGTTTATGTCACCTCCATGAAGGAGACAATGCCAAGGCAGAAAGCCAACTGGGAAGCAACACATATACCCCTTGTTCGCAGTGAGGTGCCCCTGGAACAGTTTCCCAGACACCTCTGTACCATGTGCAGCTCCAGCAGAGCTCCAAGCATCACAAGCTTCCAGCAGGAGGATCTTACAAGGCAGGCTGACTGCTGAACTGAGAGAAGGCTCAGAGAAAACAGGACTTTTGCAGGTGTTAGGATTCCCAGAGACAAATAGATATGGCATAGAATTAACACATTAAAAATTATGCCACCCCTGAAGACTGCATTTTAATGCATACCCAACTACGCAGGTCCAGCAACACTACATCTGATACTGTGCTCACGTGGGTTGCTACAAAAGGCAGGATCACTCCTGATTGGTCAAACTTAGCATGGATCCCAAAGGCCATCATTCAAACTCCTGCATTTTCTCCATTGCAGAGCCATAAAACAGTTATACCAAACTGTGCAGTTATGTGCAGCTTTGAAATAGGATTGGGGTATAGGAAAGAGTTGAGAAATGTAAACAGGAGTTAAGGCTCACCTAGAACTATGGACTGAAGAGCATTGTCACTAACTTGCTCAGCAAACATTGTGTGTCTTTTCAGGGATCCATCATAAACAAAGTAAAACTCGGCGTCCTCTGGGAGATAAATGTTGCCAAATTTTGCGTGTATAGTCACCTGTCCCTGAAAAAGAAAAGTGCATTGAGAAACATCCAGTAAATTTCTCATCTTCAACAAATCCTGATGTCCATTTCAGATGCAAGTTTATTATAACCTTTATAACTCTACTATAGAGAGGCTGTGATACAATAACAAACCTGCAGTTTTCTACTTCCACTTAGAAAATAACACTGGTTTTATGCTTGCTCAAGCAAAGGTGATTTTAAAAACTGCCTTTTAAATAATGTCTTTCAACTAATTCCCTTCATCCCAACCCACAAAAATGTAACTGACTTTTTATTTAAAATGCATCAGAACAATTCAGTCAGTGAACCCAAATATTTTGCTATTTACAAAGCAAGTTTTGTTTTAAAAAATAAAAAAAATTCAAAAGTGCTTTGAATGATCTTAGACTCAGTTTGCAAAACAAAAGTACCAATGTAATTCTAAAAATGACTATGCTGGTTTCAAAGAATACTAGTTCCCAGATATCTGCTTATGGGGGTTTCTTTATAGTAAATAGAAAGCAACCAGCCAAGAAAAACCTGTCATACAATAGCTTCAAAAAAGAACAGGAAAGGGATCTGAGAAGCAGCAAACAATAACAAATGTCTGATAAGTCTGAGGGAGGAAATGTAGATCAAGCTGCATTTCCTTGAGGAGGAGGACAGTGTGCTCCAGCACAGTCCCTGACTCCCTGACTGCCACAGATGTTCTACATAAGACAGAACTGTTTCAACTTCTGTCAGAAATGGTGTTTTCTGGAAAACTGGCTACAGAAGAGTATCTCAGCCATTCACACTTCCAAACGATGCCTGCCCTCCTCTGTTTAAAACACTGACTTCACCAGCTCCACAAACAAGTCTTGTAACAAGCAAAGCACAACACAGTAGCACGGAAATTCTGAGGCTGAAAAATCACACTGTGGTGAGTTGTTACCACACTGTTACCTCTCCCAATTCCTATCCTTATCTCAAAATCCTCATGACTTGCCCTCATTCTCCACAAAACGACTGTAATCAGTTGACCCCGGCTGGACACTAGGTACCCACTACAGCCACTCTCTCCCTCCCCTCTGCAACTGGACAGAGGAGAGACAAAAAAAAACACCGAAGGATTCCTGACTTAAGAGCTGGGAGAGGTCACTTACTGATCACCATCACAGGCAAAAGAGACTCAAAGTGGGGATGTTAACTGAATTTATTACTAACAGGTCACAGCAAAATAGAGAGAAGTAAAATAATCTTATAAGCACCTTCCCCCGACCTCTCCTTCCTTCCATGTTCTACCTTCTCCCCCCAGTGGTGCACAGGGGTGGGGAATGGGGCTTGCAGTCAGTTGTTGTTTCTGCTGCTGCTCAGGGAGAGGAGTCCTTACCCTGCTCCCGTGGGGTCCCTCCCACGGGAGACAGTCTTTGATGGACCTCTCTGGTGTGAGTCCATCCCTCAGGCAGCAGTTCTTCCCAAACTGCTGTCCCGTGCGTCACTCTTCCGTGGGGCGCAGTCCTTCATGAATGAGCTGTACCAGTGTGGGTCACCCACAGGGACCACAAGTCCTACACAAGAAAAACCTGCTCCAGCGTGGGCTCCCCTCTCCAAGGGCTGCAGGTCTCTGGCAGGACCCTGCTCCAGCCTGGGCCTCCCATGGGGTCACAGCCTCCTTCATGCATCCACCTTCTCCAGCATGGGCTCCTCCCTGGGCTGCAGGGGGGTCTCTGAACCCCAATGGTCCTCCATGGGCTGCAGGGGCACAGCTGCTCCACCATGGGCTGCATGGCCTCAGCTCCAGCACCTGGAGCACCTCCTGCCCCTCCTTCTGCACTGACCTTGGTGTCTGCATTGCTGTTCTCACTCTGCTCTTCCTTGGCTGGAATTCTTTCTGCACAACCACATTCTGTTCTTAAATATGTTATCACAGAGGCATCACTGTCATTCCAAATTGAATCAGCCTCGGTCAGCGGCAGGAAGCCCATCCTTGAGCTGACTGGCATTGACTCCACAGCCAGAGGAAGCTTCTAGCAGCTTCTCACAGAAGCCAGCCCTGTAGCCCCTGGCTACCAAAACCTAACCACAGAAGCCCACTGCACACACTTATGCCCCTGACTGTCCTTACCATCCTCGCCTTATTGATTATATGGCAAACACACACTTCAGTGTGTGCCACTGCCCCCAGTATCACATCTTTAACCTGCCTTCCCCAAGGACATCTTTCTCATCACTCATAACAATGGGAATCCTGCATTTGTTTTCCCCTTAAATACAACTGAGTCTAATGAACAGGGGTGAAGAGACAAAGGCTAATTTCCTGCCAGCATCCACCCTACCCTAACAGTTTCCAGCAAAAATTCTTCCTCAAATAGGATTGTTCCCATAAGAACAGATGTAAACAACATTATGAGTTCAAAATCAAGAGCAATACCTGTCATCCCCAGAAACTGATAATGCACCTCTTTTTTAGTAGCCTGAAGTGTTACTATAACTGCCAAATGTTTTCTCATATTTCTCTTTGGGTTTTGCACTATTGTAATCAGAATGTATTATTATTATTATTGTAGTTGTTCTTATTATTATTGTTATTAATTCATCATATCTTTAAAAATCTTTTTCTGTTAGTTGTGAATAACCCTTTTAGTCTGTTGAGTAATAATGTGGATGCCTACTTTGATTTGCAAAAAACTCTGGCACTGACAGGTAATTTTATTTAAAAAGTGTGAAGAAACTAAAATTATGGTTATCAGCATTTAAAAGTAGGTAATTAAGCCCTAATTCATGTATCAGCTCAAAACAGCAAAACCAGCAGCAATCAATTACAATACACATTACCTGAAATGGGAACACTGTCCTTCTATAGAGTGATGTTTGTTCCGAGTTTGTTCCAGACATTGAAGCTGGAAACACATTCCAACTGGTACATTTCTTCTGCATTTCTAAATACAAAATTTAGGCTTAACACTTATCCTTCAGTACCAAAAGCTCAAACTAGGTAAGTCACACAGGTGCCTCATGTTTGGAAAACTGGTCAAGTGGACTGAATAAAAGGCAGCTGGAAGAGCATGGACCCAGAGGACTTTGCTGATGGAGGATTAGGGAGAGGAGGCTGCAGCTATGGCAGCATTAAGAGAGCCACTAAACCAACTCTAAACCCGTGGCTGAGCAAGAGTTAGTATCTACCTCTCTGGGATCCATAAAGTAAATCATACCTTTTATTACTAGTGAAAACACTGCCCTGGCACTGCACCAGGGAGGAGATTATCAAAGTTTGTATTTTTAGCAGGATTTATAGGTCTACAAGCTCTTCGAATGTAACCAAAGAGGTTTTTCAGGCATACATTTTTCCTTGGTTTCTCCAGAGCGCTTGAGAGCTGATGGTGTTCAGCACACAGCAGCAGGGTCTCCTGAACCCCACATCATGGGTGGGGAGCAGAAAAGACTGGACTCCCCAAACCCTTGGGACAAGAGTTCCTATCTCCAAACACTCTGATCCTCTTCTGCATCCCAGCAAGGCACTGACTCTCCATGAGGAGAAGAGGGAAAGGTAGGTAGCAACCCCTCATGGCTGAAGCATGACCACATCTAGGCAGGCAGGAGGAGCTGAAGAGATGACCATGGCACTTCCAGTTGCCTGATCACTACTCTGCTGCAAGACAGCCCATGCCTTAATTATTGGCCATTAATCTAAACCAAGCTTCTTCCCCTTTGAAATCATTTAGATAACACCATCTTCTTCACCAGCAACCTGCCCCAGCAAAACAGGTGCAATACAAAAAGACCTTTAGCAGACTGCCAGATCCAGGCCACCATGCTGGCTAACACTTAGATTTCAACAATTGCTCTCTATCCTTGCATACACAACCTGGATAAATCTGTTTTCCTAAACTTTTACCATGAAAATAACACATTCTAAAGTACATTAAAAATGCCTTTACCAAACTATATAAGTGACATAATAGCTTGAGAAGTAATCTTTTATCCAGGGTTTTTGAGGATATTATCTGTAAATATAATGGTATAAACAACCACCAGATTTGTAATTACTTGCTCCATGAACAATATTTATGTGCTCAGGCAAAATAATGGCTTATTTGTTCTCAAAATGCAAGTCCCAACACATCAAAGTAAATGCAAACACCCAAGTATTTCCAGCAATAATGGAGCTATTTTCGTCTATGTCAGCTGCTACTGGCCACTACAATTTAACAATCTTTTTTTCACTGTTCAGAAGTCTCACTTCAGAAAATCTTTATATTTAACTTGCACTCAGACAAAAATAGTGGCAGCCATACAGCTTTAATGACCTTTGCTGCAACTTAGTTGCGACTTCGAACACTTCTACACAACCGATGCAAAAAAAGTAGCAGGGAAATTCTAAATAAACACAAATCAACCATACTCAAAACCTTAATAACAAGAAAACAGTTTTAAACATGCCTTTCTAATGTTAAGTGATATTTTTTTAATGTCCACCAGGCAGTTCTTGTTGACAGATTGCAATAAGCATTGTAATGGTCTTGTTTAAGAAAGCATGTGCCCTAATGGCATTGAATGCAATGGAATTCAGCACACAATGAAACACCAACCACAAGCAAGCAAGGAGTAAGAAACTGAAAAACAAGATAGGAGATAAAAGCTGAACATTTCTCTAGAAGCATTAGCTTTCTAATGGTATAGGTAATAACATTCAAAGCAAAAATAGGGTGTTTTCCCCTATACTTAATGACTTAAGATTAAAGTTTTTTTCTATTCAGAATAACAAGACAAGCAGAATTCCACATATAGACTGGAGACAAGGTATGCAATGATAGGGTCATATTTAGTATTACATATTGCCCAAAAGCCTACACATACACTTTTATAAAAACTGAATAGGCACACAAGAGCTGCTTGAGAAGAGCCAGTCCTCATCTCACTTACACTACAAAACTCTAGCAGCACCCTGAGAACCTCACTCTTTTGCACAAGGTAAAGGGCTGGTTCCTTCAGCCTCTGAAACTGTGGAGAAGACATTGAGCACACGTGGGAAATACA